ATAGAGGGGCTGGTGTGGTGGCTCACCAAGTTAGGCCTCCACCTGCAGCGCCGGTATCCCAAATGGGTGCTGGTTCAAATCCTGGCTGCTCCACCATCAATCCAGCTCTCTGCTCGTGGCCTTGGAAAGCAGCTGAGGATGGCTCATGTCCTTGAGCCCCTGCACTCATGTGGGAGACCTGGAAGAAGCTCCTGGCTTCAGATCAGCTCAGATCTGATCATTGTGGCCATTTGGGGAGTGAGCCAGTGGAAGGAAGATCTCTCTCTCAACTCCATAAATCTGCCTTTAAGTAAATAAATCTTGAGGAAAAATAAAAAGATTTCCTTCCTCAAAAAAAAAGTTCATGGAAGATGGAATTAAAAGGTAGGTGGTTTGGGGGCAAAAATGTTGATGTCCACACGGAGTTCGCCCACAGCACACTCTTTCTCCAAGTCCTTGGTATGGACGGTTGGCTCTCGAAGGCAGCCTCCGACTGAGCTCAGGACCTTGGCATGCCAGGAGTGCCTTATGGGCACACTGTCTCTCAACCTCAGACTCCTCTCCCTCTCTATTGCCCCATGCACCTTCTGAGGGTCTAACAGGGCATGGTATTGAACAAATCCATCGACAAGGGGCCAGCGCTGTGGCATGGTGTGTCAAGCCACCTCTAGCAATGCGAGGATCCCATGCTAGAGTGCCCATTCGGGTCCTAGCTGCTTCATTTCTGATTCAGCTCCCTGTTAATACATCTGGGAAAACAGCAGAGGATGGCCCAGCATCCAAGGATGCCGCTCAAGTAGGAGACTCAGATGGAGTCCCTGGCTCATGGCTTCAGCTGGACTCAGCCTCTGATATCGTGACTATTTGGGGAACAAACCAGTGAATGGAAAATCCAATCTCTCTCTGACCCTAGTTTTTCCACCCCTGCCACCCTGTCTTTCAAACACATAAATAAATTAAAATCCACCCCGACCCTCATCTGCAGGCCTTCTGTTTAAACCTCATTGGTTGCAGCCTAGAACACTGAGAATCCCTCACCCCCACCACGACCCCCTGCTTCTGTCTTATTCTCCTCCAATCCTGCCAGTGGGGGGTGCTCTCAACGCCAGCTCCCAGCATCATCATTACTATCCCTCACCTTGCTTAGAAGTGCTTGTTGGGCCTGGCGCAGTGGCCTAGTGGCTAAAGTCCTCACCTTGAATGTGCTGGGATCCCATATGAGCAGCGGTGTTTCCCATCCAGCTCCCTGCTTGTGGCCTGGGAAAGCAGTCGAGGATGGCCCAAGGCCTTGGGACCCTGCACCCGCATGGGAGACCTGGAGGAAGTTCCTGGCTCCTGGCTTCGGATTGGCACAGCACCGGGCGTTGCAGTCACTTGAAGAGTGAACCGACGGACGGAAGATCTTCCTCTCTGTCTTTTCTCCTCTCTGTATATCTGACTACACAATAAAATTTTTTTAAAAATTAAAAAATAATCCTAAAAAAAAGAAGTGCTTGTTGATTTCCCAGTGTTCAACAAAGATACCTGTCCTCTCTAGGACCTGGCCCGTCAGCCTTCCAGCCCACCTCCCCCCTGCTGCCCAGCTCTAGTGTCCAAGAGAGCTGCCCACAGATGTCCACTCTCCTAGCCTTTCCTAAGCCAAGACTTCCGGCCTGGCTGCCTGACAACTCAGATTTTTGGATTGTGATTAAGTTTCATCACCTTTTCATGTAGTCACTTAAACACACACACACACACATCAATTATTGAACTTAAGAGAAGGGATACATTCTAAATATTTCATCAGTTGTCAACCATGGAATCCACCCATCCAAGTGTGGGTGAGCCCCGTGCTAGTTGCTGGATTGTTGAAGAGGTATGGTGGCTCAAAGAGGGGACACCCAGGGACTCAGAGCAGTCACCAAGTATTTCAGTCTTCCAGCCTCAGGTGTGCTCATGCATGACCAAGTTTTGGGACCCAGCGTCACGTTATCCTAGAATTAAACCCCTCCACCTACCTTCCATGAGGTTTCATTGCGCTCATCCCCAGCCCTGTCACCATCCGAAGCAGCAAGATCACAGCTGCTGCCTCTACCACCTCCACTGTCGTCACAGCATTGTTCCCAAATGGGGTGTGGGGGGCGGAGGGCAACAGTTTTCTCCTCAGCATGCCAGCAGTCCTGTCTGGGCAGCCCCACAGCCACCTCTTACCCTGGCACTGGGGCTCTGCTCAGTGTATCTTAACTGACACCTTCAATAACTTGGGTTTCTTTTTTTTTATCCAAAGGACAGCCCAGCCCAATACTTCCTGAAGGTTCCCACCACCCTTGGACACGTTCTGAGGGACTTCCCACAGGTTTCTGCAAACCTGACCTACCTACAGTCCAAACCCTGGCAAAACTGGTCTCTTCCGCCCTCTTCCCCCTTTTCATCCAGCCATTGTTCCATTTTTAGTGTGTGTGCTGGCAAAGTGAGCACTCCACATGGCCATCTCACTTGTTAACTCCTTCCAACTCCTATCACCTTACACCACCTTACACGATCCTTTCAGGATCTTACCCTATTCAGCTTTAATTTAGCCGACTGGCCATGATTCCACTAAATCTTGGTTGAATGATTGAATGGATGCATGAAGACTGAACCGAGAGTATTGCCTAGGATAAGCCCTATCTCCCAACTACCCCATCAGGAATATGTGAATTCAGTTTGATTCATTCCTTGTATTGATCTTCACCACTTGTTAATATGTGGTTATTCATCCAACACATGCCCACGCTATCTACCATAACGCGACACGAGACCCCAGCACTCTGAGGGGCAGAGTCTGGAGACTTCAGAAACAAAGGCAGGAAAAAGAGCAAGAATATGCCCTGTACATCCGACTGGCCTAGAAAGGAGCCAGAATTTCATGTTCTCCACAAAGGGGAGATCCGCACACAGCCCCCATCAGAAAAGGGTGAAAGGAGTCAGTCGCCCAACTCAAACTCCAAAATGGAAATAAAGACTGAGAAACACAAACATTTATTGTGAAATAAAGAGACCTTTAAAGTGAAAACAGAACCCAATGTAAACGGCTCATACCTGACTCACAAACCACTCTGGGAAGCTGAGACGAAGGGCTTCAGGCAGAAGTGTACAGTACTGTGTGTGTACCCAGGTCCTGGCCCCTTCAACTTCTGTTGGGAACAGGAAAGAACTCCTACACCCTATAGCCCAGTGATAACGCACCACTGTCAGGAGATGACGTGGCCACCTTGTAAGCAGGGCCTGGGTCCAGCCCTCAGCTCTGTCCCCTCCTAATGACCTTGCATGATGCTTCTCAGCTTGCCCAACTCCCTTGAGAAATGTGAAATGGAACAACCTGCCTCGGGGAGACACAAAGAGGAATCAGCAGAGACCTATGTGGTACTCAGCAGGACACCTGGCTCACAGGGATGCAGCTAACAGGTGCTCATCAACAGCACCCGTCATCCACTGCCACTGCAGGGCGGTAGGTGGAGGGCAGCCTGGGGCAATAGAGGAAACAGTGTGCCTATGTGTGTCCTGGGCTGAGGGTGCTAGGACGACCGAGGCAGTGGTTCTCACTCTGGGTGCCAGTGCCAGCCCCTTTATACCCAGCGACAGGGCATGGGCACTTTTTGAAAGCTCCCAGAAGATTCTGACAAGATCCTCTGTTGTGGCCAACAGAGTTGGCGACAAGCAAATCTATAAGCCTGAATGTCCATCATACTATGTCTTTAGGCCCATCTTGGTTTCAGCAAAATGAATGCAAGCTTTTTCTAGTCCTTGACTGTTTTCTTTTTTTTTTTTTTTTTTTGGATTTGGTCTGTCTCCCGAAGTAAACTTGTTAGAAGCTTTGTTCCCCAGAGCGGTAATGCTAGACGATATGTGGAACCTTCCGGAGTTAGGACCTAGCATGCAGTCCTTAGGAAGGGATCACAGGACCCTGGGAGCTTTGTAAAAGCGTGCACAAGCCTGAATCTGTCTGGCTTCCTGCTTCCAGCTGTTGTTGCTCCTGAACAACCCATGAGCTCCTCTATGGGCCAAGGTGGTGTGAGCACCATGCATCTGAGCCTCCAGAACTGACAATTAAACCTCTTTTCTTTCTCTAGTCAGCCTGCCTCAAATTCTGTGTTATAGTCATGACAGACTCATGCACTAATAAAACACATCAGTCATTATTACCAAATTTTCAGAAAGTAGCCACTCTGGAAAAGTCATAACAAAGCTCAAGTGTTTATTAAGAATTAAAAATACTGTAAATAAGCCATACAGTTCATTTCACAGTAAACTAAACAAACTTTTTTTCTCCTTTTCCTTTTCGTGTTTTTTTTTTTTTAATTTTTTTTCTTTCTTTTTGAAGAGCAAGACAGCCATTAAAGAACAATACAGTTCCCAGGAAAACAGACACAGCAAATAGTGACTGAATTGCAGCAAGCACCATGTGCCTTCCAGACAGATGGGCCCGCGCAGACGGCACATCCTGTCACGGATACCATGTTCAAATAAAAAGCTCTGGCCTACATTCTGCAAGGAGACAGCCCCTCCCCAGCGGACAGCTGGCCTAACCTAGCTTCCTCCATCAAGCACCGCCCTTTTACTTTTGGTGCCCCTGGGGAGCATGGGGTGAGGTGGGGAGAAGGGTGGGGGACACTGAGGACCCTGCTGGGCGGTGCGCTTTCTGGTCCAGAACCACCTGGATTCTTTGCATAGTTACCTTGGAGGTCACTAGGCGGTTCTGGAACAGGCTGGGCAGCCCATGCGCTGCTGCAGGTGGCCCTCAAGCAGCCAGATCTCTTAAAAAGACAGAGGTGCTCCAGCCTCTCGCCCCAGGGCTGACATCTGAGTTGTAAGCAGTTTAAAGTGGAAGACAAGTGAGAGGTTGTCTCTTGAAAACTCTAGTCAAACATATATATTAAAAAAAAAAAAAAAGATAAAATGAATTTTCCTTAAGGACAATTAAAAACGGAAAGGCCCCTGTATCCCCTCCTTATTTCTAGCTTGAAATCAGGCCTTTTTTTTTTTTGATGTTGCAGTTAACCTGCTTCTGCTACTCCTCAGTTGGAGCTGTTAGCACTTGTCTGGCACCTGCTTAGTGCCAGCTCCTAGGCACGAGTCTGGGCCTTCAGGAAACCTACCAAAAGCCAGAAGCAGAAAACTCAAGAAACCACGTATGTGGAAATAACTGCAAATAAATTAACAGGGCACAAGAACGCAGTGCGTGGTGTTCGGGGACACCTACTGCTCTCTGAGCAGGGACAAGAAACGGAGGGGGACAGCCCAGGGGAGAAAACAACAGGTTTTTTTGGTCATGAGAACTTGAACTTGGAGCCGGCGCCCCGCACAGAGCTGCTTAGATCTTCTCGTGGATCTTCTCCACCCTCACAAACAAGCGGTCCAGATCGCTCCTCAGCTCGTCCAGCAAGCCCCTGGCCGACTCGAGGTTCTTCTCATTGGTTTCGATTTTCACCGAGTACGCCACCAAGCTGTCCACGGCAGTCCTCAGCATTTTCAAGTCCGACTCCACTTGGCTCACGGAGGATTTCACGTTTTCCAGAGCAGCAAGTCTGTCCAGGACGTCCTGCGGGGGCGGCTGGGCAGCCTGGGCACGGTCCTGCCCAAGCAGGGTGTGCACCTGCTCCTGCACCTTTTGCAGCGACTCCACGGTGCTGGGGAGCTCACCCATGCTTCTCTTCAGCTCCTCCACATCGCTGTAGAGCGCCAGCTGGGCCTCCCCAAGACTTGTCACGGTGCTGGCCAGGCCGTCCCTGTCTGCCCCCGAGGAGGACCCCACGCCTTCCAGACGCTGCTGCAGCGCGCCCAGGCGCTGCTCGTGCTCCTCACTCCGTGACAGCAGGGACTCCAGGCGCTCAGTGTGGCGCTCAGACGCTTCCTGCATGGAATGCACTCCTTCCTCCAGGGTCTGCAGCCTCGAGTCCAGGCCCTGGCTCTTCTCCTGGAGCGTGTCCAAGGCGTCCAGGTTTCCGAAGGAGCCGTCCTCCTCGGACCTGTATGCACTGGCCTTGAGCTGGTGCAGCTCCTCCTCCAGGCGCCGGATCTCCTCGGGGAGGTGAGCCACCGACTCCTCGGACTGCAGCAGCTTCTCGGTGAGGGCCTGCAGGGCCAGGCGCTCCTTGGCGGCAGCCTCCTTGAATGCCTGCTGCTCCTGCTTGAGGCTCACCAGTGCCCGCACCTCCGTGTAGACATCCGACTCCATGGCCTGCAGGGAGCTCCGCAGGGCCTCCACGTCCCTCTCTCTGGCCTTGGCGGACGCCTGCACCTCCTTCACCACTTCCCTCATGGCCTTCAGGTCCTGCCTGTGCCCCTCAGATTCTTCCAGAGAAGCAACCTTGGCCTTCACGCCATTGATTTCCTCCTGGCTCTGCTTCTGGACCTCAGTGAAGAGGGCGATGTTGTCGTTGATGGACTTGGTGAGCTCGGTGAGCCGCTCCTCCACCGTGTTCTCCAGGGACGTGAAGTCCCGCTCCCGGGCATCCTTCACCACGTGGATGCCGTCCGACAGGTCCTTGAGGATCTCGTTCTGGAGCTTCTGCAGGACCTCGCTGATGCGGCTCACCTCACTCTCCCCCTGCTTCACGGCTTTCTCTGTGAGGTCCTGTTTGTGCTGGGAGCTTCTCAGGATGGACTCAAAGGTCCCAAACGTGGCCTGAAGAGACTGCACCTGTAACCAAAACACACACGTTAACTGCTGAGAAGAGCCGCGAGTCAAAGACACAGTCTCCTCTTTCAGAACGCCAGTCTTCCTTTGCAGGAACGTGCCAAGTCCACGTGCTGCTTGTCCTGTTTCAAGTTGTTTATTTATCTGAGAAACAGAGGGTCAGAGAAAGAGTTCCCACCGACTTGCCCACTCTCAAACGCCCACAGTGGCCAGAGCTGAGTGGGAGAAGAGCCCAAGTCAGGGTCTCCCGTGTGGTCTGGCACGAACCCAGCGACTTGAGCCATAGCCACTTGTCCGCATTTACATTAGCTGGAAGGTAGAGCCACAAGTTAGAGCCAGCAATTCAACTCAAGCCCCTGAGGTGGGTATTTGGCACAGTGATTAAGTCGCCGTTTGGGATACCTGAATCCAACGTCAGAGTTCATGGGGTTCTTTTTAGGTCTCAGCTCCACTTCCCATTCCAGCTTCCAGCTACTGTACATCCTAGGAGGCAGCAGGTGGTGGGTCACTTCAATAGGCCCGTGCCACAATCTCGGGAGACCCAGATTAGGTTCAGGCTCCTGGTCTTATTCTGGCCCATCCCCGGATGTTGTAGACATTCAGGCAGTGAAACTGTATGTAAAAGACGTGCTTCTGTCTTTTTCAGACACGTAAATAATAAACCCCAAGCACACAAAGGAGGCTAAATGCATGTACCGGTTCATGTGGCATGGGGACAACACGGCAGGGTCCGCGTGCTCCAGGGATGGGTTCTAACACAGCCCTGGCCAACCAGCACTTCCCATTTACCCCACCCCAGCAGCAGCCACTGTGCTTAGCCCAGGAACAGGCACATGGCCTAAGAGGCCAACAGGAAATTACAGGATTTCTGTTGATGTCACCAGGGCAGGACCTTCTCCCAAGTGGGATTGCTAGCTTTAAGATGAAGGTGGCCAGGGAATGTTCAGACCAGCAGAGGAGGAATGCCCACCTCAGAGTCAAGCCAGAACAGAGGGAAGCCCATCTGGGATAAGATCAGACGCCACCCACCCGCTACCCGCCCCCACACTTCAGCATCTCCTACTGTGAAACGTGAGCAATAGCCAGATGATCCCTTACAATTCTCTAGTTCTCTGAAAACACTTCAAAACTGTTTCATATTACATGTTCCTTCTACATAAATTCTATCCTCAGTAAGTCTGACCTGCAAACCACCCAAGGCAGCTGGCTTAACAAACTTCAGAGGATTACAATATGATGTAACAACTTGGCTTTGTCCTGACATGACACGAGCTGCCACTTATAACGCTTTGTTGGAAAAAAGGAAACTGAACCTAATCGCCAAACCCCCAGGTCTAAGCACCACTGAACGGAGCGGTACTTGAATCACACCTAACACACAGTGCGTGCCCCATTAACAGTGGTTCTTGCCTCCTTCCTGTCTAAGCTCTACCCTCAAGTATCTCCAGGGTCTGGAGATGGTTAGCACGTCCTCAGACCAAGGCTGGAGAGCCAGAGAACAAACCGCAAACAGCAGGAAGCTGAACAGAGCTCCGGGGCTGTACTTCCAGCCCCACCAGTCACCAGGCTCTGGCAGCACAAAGTCCCACCTGCGCCCCAACTCCCAGGTCTCTCCAGCCTAGCTCAGCCTGCGGTCTTAAGACAGTCCGTGCCAACATTCTCAGGCACTCCAGAATTTCCTGACAGCTTCCCTGCCCAAGTCGTGAGAGGCACCTAGCGCAGGTGTGGGAGAGGGCACAGCCAAGATCACACAGTCTGTCCTCAGGACAGAGGTGTGCACAGGGGGACACAGCTCCTGAGACATGCCTGGTGTGGACCCGGCATTTTCTGAATGAATCACAGAATGAATGTGTTCAGAGTCTGATAACGTTGTCAGCTAGTTGGTTTCCCCTTCGATCCCTATCATCCCTAACCTGGGCATGAGCCTCCCAAGTGACTGGGAAACTGATTAGGTCAGAAACTAGGGATAAAACCAAACCAAACCACCTGCGACACCCAGAGGTCAGTGTCCCCCCACCTGAGGGCACACCAGATGTATCTGTTCCCCAACATTTGTGGAATGCAACCTATGAGGAGGGTATTGAGCAAGCTGCCAGGCATAACACACTGGCCAGGACAGCACTGCTGCTGCCAAGGCTCTCACAGCTAGCTGGGGGAGGGGCAGGGAACAACAGGGTACAGTGCCTGACATTCAAAGTGGCACTTTGTGCATACCAACAACTTGGCCAGGTGCTTCTAAGACGGTACCTCCTGATAGCCTCACCCACCTCGCAGGTCACGGGGCGGCTACCTCTCCACTTTACCAATGCGAAACCTGCAGGGCTGTGGGACTGAGCAGCATCAGCAAGCCAGCAGGGCTGACTACACAACCTGATCTCTTGGCCTGAGAGGTGCGTGGCCATGGGTGGGGGTGCCAGTCATGGTCCAGTGAGAGCCTGGAGGTGAGGCTGCCAACACCCATGGCCCTGTCTCCGGGACAAGGGGACCAAGGCAAGCAAAGCCAATCAGTACGACCCCATCAGAGGCCGTAAGAACTGCTAGTCTCAGCAAAGTGCTGCCACCAGACTAAGCCCACTCCCGCAATTCCTAGATGTGTCCCTGGATCGCAGAAACTGGCTCTCCAGAGAGGCCTCGACCTTAGCCATTTGCTAAAACCCAGAGCTTCTGGCAGCAGGATTTGTGGTGCAGAGGATTAAGCCTCTGCTTGAGACACCCACGTCGCCCATCAGAGTGCCTGCACTTGAACCCAGCCTCAGCTTCCAATCCAGCTTCTAACGCATCCTGGGACGCAACAAGTGGTGACTCAGGCACTCGGGCCTCTTGCACTCACGGAGTTTCTAGATCTTGGTCTCAGCTTGGCCCAGCCCCCGCAATTATGGATATTTAGAGCAAATCAATGAATGGAAGATATCCTTCTATCTTTCTATGGCTCTGATTTTGAAATAAAATTTTAAAAAGAACAAAACTCGCTTAAAAATATCTGGGGAACAGGTAGGTGTTGGCATCCAACTTCGATGCCAGCTCCCCCTCTCAGGATGTGCGTGTGACTCCGTGCCTGAGGAACACGCTCAGCCTTACGCAGCTACCTCACCTGTGAAACAGTGCTGGGAAATGGTACCTGCGTCACGGAGTGGCTGGGAAAACTCCAAGCAGGGCTGCAAAGCACTTAATGGAATGCGGGGCCCATAGTGAACACTACAGATCCTGATACCATAACGGCGTTTCTCTGTTGAGAACCAAATCCCACCCTAACCCACTCCCATCAAGGCTGCAAGTTCTAAAAGGGTTCAAACTTCAGGTTTCAGAGGAACCATCAGGAGGTCACCCCAAAGCTGAGACAGAAGCAGTGGCTGACACTGCACAGCCGAACCCAACGCTGTTCTTGGCAGGCTTTCAGTTTTCAGTCCCTTGGACAGTTACTGAGCACTTACTAAGGGAGCCAGAGGGGGGAAATCAACAGTGGAGTCGGCTGTTCCAGGAGTTAGACTGAATCCTAGCCCTGTCGCACAGGGCATCTGTGACCACAGTTACCTGCTGTCACCTGCCTTGTTTGCGACAGGGTTAAGCCATACTGCTTGCTTCCAGAGCTGTGGTGAGAACCTGAGAGGCACCCTTGTGGGTCCAGCACAGTGCGAGCACATGGAAAGTACCCAAGAAATCCAACGCATGAAGCAGTAGCTTCATTATACTTCTCTGTTACAACAAAGATGGCAATGGGGTCAGCGCGGTAGGACACCAGGTGAACCCACCGCTGGCGACCCCAGCATGCCAAACCAGTGTGAAAGTCTGACTCCTGGCTACTGGGCTTCTGAACCAACTGCCTGCTAAGGCGCCTAGGAAGGACATGAAGGCAGCACAAGTACTTGGGCCCCTCAGACTCGAGCGGGAGACCTGAAGGGCGTTCCGGACTCCTGACTTCAATCTGTGGCCATGTGGAGAATGAACCAGTCGATGGAAGATAGTCTCTCTCGGTCTCTCCTTCTGCCACAGAGCCTTGCAAATAAATAAATCTTTTCTCCTGGTGAGAATAAGTCAGGAGGGGGTAAGGGAGAGACAGAGGAAGGCCTCAACATCCAGTCTCCTCTCTCACTGTATTTCCAGATTGTCACCTGGCATGGGTAAAGTAGGCACCTCCTGCTCCCACCCGTGTTCTCATTGTGGCCATTCACTGATGCTCAACTAGGTGGCTACAGGCCGGGCCCTCCACCACGCCCTTCCGACACCTACACAGGTGCTGCTTCTCAAATGCTCTTCTTGCTCCTCCGTGCCCTCTGCAGTGCCTACACGGACCCAGACGACTATCAGACCTCGATAAATATGATGGATTAGCCAGTAGGTGGGTGAACCCAGGGAAAACAGAGAGCCTACTGTGTCTCTTTTTTTAAAGGATGATTTGACATTCACAATAGGCAAAGAAGCACTGCCCACTTAACTCCCCTGGAAAAGTCACCTCCCTTAGCCGGCAGCATTTAGCAGGCTGACTCACTCCAGCTGCTCGGCCCTTCAGAAGAGGAAATTCCTAGCACTGCACACGCAACACAAGCAGACAAACTTGGCAGGACGCAGCACGCTGCGAGGAGGAGGAGGCAGAGGTTCCGGGCTCAGAAGTGGCGGGACTTTTGTTTCGCACATGGAGTGATGACATTGGTGGAGGACGGAGGACCGTGCAACCACTCAGAAAGGACTCACTTGGTCTGCGAAAGCCACATGGGGTGAAAAGTCAGCCAGCTTTACCCTGGGAGCTCACTACCTCTGCTGGTTCAAACCGGCCCCTGGGGAGAACCTGGGGGATGGCAGGGAGAGACAGTGCCCTGACACTCCTAGGCAATCTGCCACTCACCGGCTGGGGTCTTTCTGCAGTCACTGTCACCCTCTAACCTTTTCATTTTCCAGCCTGAAAAATGGAATTCAAACAGCCTGGTGCTCCGGCCTTCGCAGGATTGCCCTGCACATCGGCTCCTGTCTGAGTACCACCTCTCAACACCACATGCATGTGTCCAGAAGCATTTTTCACCAGCCTGACCTCATGTTTTTTGGCTTTCTTGGCCTCCTAAGCCGAAGCAGCCTGCGGGAACGCAACGCGGCCCCTAGTTCAGCAGTAGCCCACTTGGCAGGGCTGCCCGGGCGCGGCCTTGCCCAAGCCTTTCAGGGATGCGTTGGCTTAACTTGCAGCCTCCTTTTCACGCAGCTCTGCGCACTCAGCGGTTCCTAATCCAAAAAGAATGGGTTCCCCGGGCCAGCAGCTTCCTTACAGGTCATCGCTAATGGCCTATGACAGGCTCTTGGCCCACCCGGCCGGCTCTGCCTGGCCCGATGATCTTTGCCGAGGTCCATCCCTCCGGTCCGCTCCTCCGCGGCCATTAACAAAGGGGGCTTGAGCACGGCCCGGGGCGGGGGGTGGGGAGTGGATTGGGGAGGGGACCTGGGAGGATCCGGATCCGGGCCAGGAGAGCATGGTGGCCCGACCTCGGGAGTCCGGCGGGGTGGGGCACCCCGAGAGGCCCGGTTGCAGGTCCCTGGGAATCGAAGGTACCCACCTTCTGCTCGACGCCCTGCAAGCCCTGGCCCAGCTCCTCCCTTTGCCGGGTGAAGTCCTGGTGGCTGCGCCGGACCTGCTGAACCTCCTCCAGGACGTGGTGGACACACCAGCCCGAGAAGGCGGCCGCCGCCACCAGAGCGAGGTAGAAGAGAAAGTTGAGCGCCCGGCCGAGCCGGCGAGAGCAGGACGCCGAGGACGAAGCGGCGGCCGCGGAGGAGGAGGACCGGCCGCCGCGGTGGCCGCCCTTGCCGTGCGCCTGGTTCTGCGGATGCTGCTGCGGGTGCTGGTGCGGCGCGGGCGGCGACGGCTGCTGCTGCTGCTGCTGCTGCTGAGGCGCCGGCGGCGGCTTCTTCGCCACGTCATCCGCGCCGCCCGACGGGTGGGCGCCCTTCTCCGAGGGGTTGGCGGCGCCGTGGCCGCCCTTGGAGCCCCTTTGTTTGGCCGAGGGCATGGCGGCGGCGGGGAAGGCAGCGGCGGAGGCTCAGGGGCCGCGGACTGAGAGGCGGGCGAGCGCGGGGGCGGGTACGCGGCCCGGGACACCGGCTCCTCGGGCTGCCCGGGGCTGAGCGAGCCGCACGCGGGCGCTGCTGGCGTCGGCGCGGCGAAAGAGCGACGGGGCCGAGGAGGGAGGCCGGCCGAGGAGCGCGGAGGAGGGGGCCTGCCGCCGCCGCGGCGCCGACCCCGCCTCCCGGGAAGGGAGGCCGGGCGAGCCGAGCTGGGAGAGCCTGCCACGCACGCCGGCCCGCCGGGGGCCCCTCCTCCCTCCGCCTCGACCCCACCACCGGAGGGCCGGCCGGGGCGGGCCGGGGCGGCGTCGGCCTACGGGGTCCGGCCTGAGGCTTCGGCCAAGTCTCCGGAAGCCCCCCTCAGGCGCTGAGGTGGCCGCGACGGGAGGGGCCGGGAGGATTGTACGGAGGCCGGGGAGCGGGGAGGGGTGCGATGGCCGAGGTGGCACGGACAGACAGAGCACGGGGACTCCTCGCGGGGGAGGGAAAAGGAAGGATGGCGGCGGACGTGGACGTGGGGGGCTGGTCGAGGGACGCCCAGGGCGAGTCCCCTTCGCGGCCTTGGGGACCTGAGCCGGGGAGAGAAGGAGGAAAGGAAGGAAGGCGGGAGACCGAGGAGCCCTGGGCGTGGGAGTTAGGGGACGGAAACCGCCCCCCGCCCCGTGCAGGTCTCCTGGGAGCTGGGAAATAGCACCCGTGTCCCCACTGTCCACGTCGGCTGCAGCCCCCCTCGGGCCCGCCCGGAGCCTGGCACTCGTCTGGTTCATCGCGATGACAGGCGCAGCCCCAGAGGACTGTGAAAAAAAAAAAAGCACCTTCGTATTTGGTAAGAGTTAGCCAAGATTCGTGGACTGTACTTAGTCTGAAGGGAACGCATTGTTGCTTGGCCCTGTCGGCCATCGACAGCGCCTTCTTTCCAAAGCCCTCTCCTCGCTCTTTTTGCTCTTTTCCGTTTGGGGCTTCACACAGTGTGTCCACAGCACCTGCTCCCTGGGCCCGCGACTGTCGCCTTGCTTTGGTAGAGGGACACAGAGTAATGCTGGCCAGGTTCTGTGCTTTTACAACCTCCCCGTAGTTGGAAACGCACAGTAAAGTAGGAGTTTGTTTGCCCATCTTCCAGAAAGGAAACAAGCCGATACTGCTGGCTACATGAGGGGCTGAAGGTCACAGCTTGGTTTGAGCCTATATCTGCTTCTAACAAAGCCCCATTTAATCATTGAAGAGTAAGGATACAAGCTCGGGTTCAGTGAAGTTAAGCAGTGTGCCCAGTGGGCTTCAGGTGAGCTGGTGCCTGTGGCTGTCCCGGGTATCTGGTGCCAGTGCCTAGTAGTGTGTTGTAGGAGTGCTGTTTGTTTCATTCCTAACCTCCCAGTGTGCGCTTTGTTTTCCAAAGGCAGAGGGGGGACAGATCATGTTCCGGCTCGCTTCCCAAATGCCCACCGGAGCCAGGCTGGACCCGGCTGAAGCCAAGAGCCCAGAACTCCATCCAGTTCCTGTTCCTGCACCTGTGTGGCAGGGACCCAAGTGCTTGAACCGTCATCTGCTGCCTCCCAGGGAGCGCATTAGCAGAAGCTGGGACTAGTGCCCAGGCACCCAGCTCTGGGATAGAGGTACCCCGAGAAGCCGCTTAACCACTGTGCCCAGTGTCCACCCCTCACACCCTGGTGTGTGTGTGTGTGTGTGTGTGTGTGTGTGTGTGTGTGTGTGTGTGTGTTTTAATCTCCTGTCTTTAAATCCTGGTTTAAAACGCCCTTTCCATTGATAAAATTTCCTTCTTACACTAATTGATAAGTCTCATGGGACTTAGCAGATAATTGCCACAAGGAATATTGTATAGAATGCTGGTGCCGCGCTTTGAACAGCCCACTCTGCAGCAGACACAGTTCTGTAAAGTACCAGTCTCTGCGCTTGGAGACACCCATTGATGATATTTCTGCATGTATCTCACCTTATAAGATGTGCTGATGATTGAGTGGATGTGTGCACGCATCTGCTCTTAGGCAGCCCCTGAGTTATACTTGGAAAAATATGCTGAAACCCGTTAAGGGTTCTAATAGAAAATGGAAATGTGAAGCGAACTTGAAGAGCAACCACTGGGCTGTGTTAAGGGTCTCTGCGACAGGAAAACCTACCACAATGCCTTGAAGCCACATTTGCATAAAAGGAAGGAGAGTGGGGGGGATATTTCTGTGACGGAAATGGGTGCACCCAGGCCACCAGGCTGAGACAAGGCGTGGAGGCGGCTGCTGGGGAAGCCTGAGATGAGCTGGGCAGAAGGCAGTGGGTCCAGACTGCTCAAGACCGCAGAAGCCTGCACAGCACATGGGGGAGGCCCTGTTCTGGGGACAGACCGGAGTAGTTGGCAGCAAGTTCTAGACAAGAAATCCAACCATGTGCCCCAGGCACAGGAATATCCACTAAACCCCAGGAGCCACGATAGGAGTCCGCTGGTTCTATAGAGTTCCCAGGACCCTGCCCTATCAGACTCAAAGATGGCCAACAAAAGGCCAGCTCATCAGAAGCTGCTTGGAAAACCCTCCAGCGGAGCTTGGGTTGTGTTTACAATCTCCAGGACACAGGAGAGACCAGCCCTTCAAGCAGTCAGTCCTGGGTACTGGGGACAGAAGTGGCAGCGAGAACTTCTGTAGAGGTTGGCTGGGGCCCCACCAAGCACTGGCCTAGGAGACAGGAACTCTGTTCTTTTGAACCTGAGCTCTGTCAGCATTCCGTGTGACCTTAGGAAATGTGCTTGGAGTCTCAGGCTCACCGCTGCAGAAAATGCGTCTCTACAAACCACTCTCTCATTTGATTGTTAGCAAGTAATTCAGTGATAATTACTTTTTTAAAAAAGATGTATTTATTTTTATTGGAAAGGCAGATTTACAGAAAAAAGGAGGGACAGAAAGATCTTCCCTTCACTTCCCAAATGACCCCCAACAGCCAGAGCTGAGCTGATCTGAAGCCAGGGGCTTCTTTCAGGTCTCTCCCACACTGGTGCAGGGTCCCTAGGCTTTGGCCCATCCTCCACTGCTTTCTCAGGCTGTCAGCAGGAAGCTGGATGGGAAGTGGAGCAGTCAGGACAGGAATCTGAGCCCATATGGGATCCTGGGACAGGACTAGCCAAGGGTTGGGTTTCTTTTTTCTTTTTTTTCAAGATTAATTTATTATTGTTGTTGTTGTTGTTGTTGCAAAGTCAGATATACAGAGAGGAAGATCTTCTATCTGAGGACTCACTCCCCAAGTGACCATAACAGCCAGTGCTGCGCTGATCCGAAGCCAGGAGCCAGGAACTTCCTCGCCCATATGGGATCCTAGCACGTTCAAAGCGAGGACTTTAGCTGCTAGGCCACTGTACTGGGCCCGAGGGTTAGGTTTCTTAAAGTCAGAGTTGACAGGCGAGCCAGAGAGGAGAGTGGAGAAGTTTGTCAAGATTTTTGCTTCTGTTGAACGCTGGAGGAGGAAGAGGAGCGTTAATATTTCCAGTGTTCCCTTCTTCCTCTGGAAGGTGGTGAGTCTAACAGTCACGACAACAGACTGACTTCGCCTCTAATTCGGCTGTACTGCAGACCACAGAGTGTGGGCCCTCTGAGCCTCAGCTTGCCGAGGGTAAGATGAGAGTCAGAAAAACTGCCTGGCGGACTTGTTGAGAGATTAGATGAGAAACACCGCCTGCTTCAGGGTGCACAGCAGCGCGGCCCAGGGAATAAAGAGGACCTCATACGACTTGGAGAGTCGCTGAGCCTCACAGAGCTTTCTGTGTCCAGATTTCAGCGGCTCTCTTTCATCATCATTTCTTGGCGCTGCCAGCACCATATGTGGTTTACAAACCACAGACTGTGATGTGTTTTAGCTTTAGAAAGAAAAAAAAGCGACAGGCAGTGTTTTCCCCTGAAGTGTGGCTCCACTGTGGGGTTTGGTTACGCCCAGAGCTGGAGGTTGGCTAGCCACTGGGGAAGTGTGTCTCCCACCTAAGAAGACACCACCGGTGCTTCTGGTAGATTTCCATCCTCCTGCCCCATCTCTTGGGTTGGCACGCCATGCATGGGTCTAAGGGAGTTTCCCTTTTCCTCTGCATCTCTTCTCCTCTGTCCCCTTTCTTCCTCTGCCCAAAGTAGCTCAGATAGCTAGACATGAGGGTGGGAAAGTGGAAGAGCCAGAGCCACCCCTTTGCTCATCCTGCTTCTGCTAAGTGACCTTCAGACCCTCAGGTCCCGCAGCCCTCTTGGTTTTCCATCTGCCTAAATAGAAAGCTCCCATCATGTTGTCCACCCCTTGTCTGTTCCAGGTAGGCAAGGCCCTCAGAGGCCAAGGGAGGAGCCCGAATGCCCTGCAAACTGGCTGTGAGGCAGGGCAGTGAGTGGCACGCTTCAGAGTTAAGCTTGGGGGAGCCGGGACCAGCTGTCCTCCTGGTTCAAACCAGAAGCCAGAGCACCTGCAGTCTGTGGGTTGGAGTGTGTAGGGTGAGTTACCAATGATGGAAAAGGGTTTTTTTTTTGTTTGGTTGGCTGGTTGATTTGGCTTAGTTTGATTTGGTTGGTTGGTTGGTTGGTTGGTTTTTGCCTCATGGCTCCAAAGACTGGGAAGTCCAAAATGGAGGGCCATGTCTAGTGAGGGCCACCATGCTTTGTCGTAACCTTGCAGAAGGGCAGATACATGACAGGAAAAGCAGGCAGAACTCGTCCTCTTTGTCACACCCACCCCCTAGGTTACTGGTCTACTCTAACACAATTGGCCCGAATCCCTTCATGTCCCACCTCCTGACAATGAAACCTCAACATGTGGTTTGGAGGATATGTTCAAACCAGTGTGTGACATCTGACACAGGGCCCAAAAAGGCCATTAAAGATGCCACTTTTTAAACACCTTTCTGCTTGTTTTTGTGTCGTATGTGTGGATACCTCAAAAGTTGCAAGGAAAATGGAAAGTAAAGTTTGTTTTGGGGTAA